CCAACAAGACCAATGACAATTCCCCCTTCTCTCTCCACCTTCCTCCTCCTCCTTCACTTCACCAATCTTATTCTTCTCTCAATAATAATAATAACAATGAATGGATGAACCAGAATCAATATCCGAAGTTCCCTCTTACTGCTGACTCAACTCAACAACAACAACAAGTCCACCATAGCTATGGCTTCCCTCCTTCAGCCTCCTCTCTCATGCATCGGCTATGGCGGACTAATGAGGGCCTTGCCCTGACGTCCAAAGGACAACCCAAAGCAGCTATGGTGCTGCGTTGATGTCCAAAGGATAACCCAAAGCAGCTATGCCGCTGCTGACTGGTCTGCCATGCCTGACTCTGCCTCGGGCTTCCTTGGTGCAGCACTACCCCAACTGGGGCCTTCCATATGCAGCGCCCAACAAGGTGATGAAGATGGTGTCTACCATAGCCAGGTAAGTGCCTCGCCACTCTCCTCCTTAGCCCCGTTCTTCCTCCTCCTCAAGCTGGACTGCTCGCCATAACCAGGCACTGTACTAGTCCAGCGCTGTGCTCCAGCAGCATGTCGCCAATCCTTGCACACCGCAAATGAGGAGGAGCTACTTGCTCCTCCGAAAGATATAGCGGCCTACTGGCCCCATTGGTTTCCGAAGAGCGGTTGCCTTAATACTTCATCCTTGGATCTAGGTCTATTGGTCTTACTAGGAATTATTTTTCTCCAGATTTGAAGCAGCGCCGACTAGTATGGAGTAAACGGCCTATAGCCCTCCAGACTGGTGTCCCTCGTTCGATTCCTTCGCCCTGTGGTTATGGCCCAATATTTGTTCATTACCCAAAACAGCCCTGACATGTCGTTTGGTGAAGGCCCCGGGGCCACAGATCTGATGCTGTCTAGGGCTAATTTGTTCCATGCACTATTTGGGTTCATCAATGGTTTGATGATCCACTTGATTTGCAGGGCTTTGGTTTCTGTTCCAGGGTCTATAATCCCTAGACCTCCTCTTTGTGGGCTCCTCGTCACATAGTGCCATGCGATCTTAGATATGCCATTCTCCTTATTGGGGTCCCCTGACCATAAGTAAAGCCTGGCCTTTCGGTTCAACTCCTTGATAGAGCTATCCGAAACTGTCCAAATGGAGGCTATGTACCACATCATTGAAAAGACCGACGTGTTGAGAGTCAGTGCTCGACCAATGAGGGAAGTAAAGACATCGCCCCACCTTCCTATTTTATTGATTTGGTTTGCCAATATGTTCTCGCCCATTTGGGGTGCTAGGCCTTCTCTTGTCATAAGTATGCCAAGGTGGGTGGGGGTGTTTGACACTTGCCATGCCATGGCTGCTTCTTCTCCTTGTAGTGAAAGAGCCTCTTCGTCTGATAGCCACCAACCTATCGTTTTCCCCCAATTGATCTTCATTTTTGAGGCCAGTCTGAATGCTTCCATTGCTTTGGCTAGTGTCCTAAATGAAGAGTCCGATGCTCTAATAAGGACAGTTAGGTCATCCGCAAACATGATGGCTATGGGAAAGTCCATTTGATGGGCCGAGCCTATATTGGTACTGGATAGTCTTTGGATTGATGGATCCTTGCGCAGGAAGGATGCAATAGCTTCCATTACGAATAGGAAGATCGATGGGTAACATTCTGACAACAGTCCATTAACTTGGACACAACCTACTGCATCCTTGTACAATATACGAACCCGTTTTCTAAAATTCGGTCCTACTCCCATCTTTTCCATACTTGCTTCCATGAAATCCCAGTTTACCTGATCATACGTCTTTTCAAAATCAAAGAAGAGTATGGCGGTATTTATTTTCCTTTTTCTAATCTTTCTTACTGCCTCATTCAGTGTCAGTACATTATCTAGAATATATTGTCATGGGATGAAACCTGTTTGATCAATGTGGAAGCATTTGTTTGTGATCTTGATGATTCGGTTGGAAAGGGCCTTGGCCAAAATTTTGTATGGAAGAGTTAGGAGTGAGATCGGCCTATAGTTTCTTAATGTCGTCTTTTTCACCTTTTTTGTAAAGTAGTGTGACCACGCTGCTGCTGAGTAAGTTACCCAACCCCCCCTTGGTCCAGCTGTCGTTGTAAAAGTTTAGCAGGTCCATTCCTAGAAGTGGCCAGAACTTCTCCCAGAATTCTCTCGTTAACCCATCGATTCCAGGGGTCTTGCTATTGTTCATACCTTTTAGAGCATGGTGTAACTCCTCTAGTGTGATTGGTTTGTCGAGTGCCTCGGCCTGTTCGGTTGATATCGTCCGTTCTAGATAATGGGGCATTTTCTGTCTTGCCTCTCTTATGTTGGGGGATATTGGTGTAGCAGTCTTCGAGTGGTAGAGGTCCTTATAATTTTTTTTGGCTATCTCTAGCATCCCTTCACTGTCTGATCTCACAGTCTCCGGGGATGTAGTAGTAGCTCTCAAGCCTTCTATTGTGTTAGCTCTCGAATTTGCCTTGATTCGGGCAAAAAAGTGTTTTGTCATTGAGTCACTAAGCTCATACGCGCACATTCTGGCTCTTATTTGGAGACCTTTCAAATCCCACCACTTCCACATAGCCAGCTCCTCTCGCGCCTTCTCAAAGATATCGTTATACAAAGGCGAGGAGGAATTGTTCACCAAGTTGGTTTCTGCCAGTTTTAGAGCAAATTCTAGCGATTGTCTCCTTTGTTTTCTTATGGACGCAAGCTTCCTGGAAACTCTGGCCATCGTGCTTGAGAGAATAGAGTAACTCTTTTGGAACCATTCCCATCGGGGTTCGGTGCTTAGGTGTGCAGACCTCTGGCCCTCCCAACAGGCACACACCTCATTTTGGAAGGTCTGGCTAAGCAGGAGCGAGTTGTTGAGCTTGTGTTAGCTGGCTCCCTTTCTAACCACTTGGTCAAAACATATTACCAGCTGTGTTGGTTTGTGGTCCAGCCCTGTGTAGGGGGCTAAAGGTAGCACCTTTGCATCCTTAACTGCCCCCATCATAGTTTCTGATACCAAAAAATAATCTATTCGTGAGAAAGCGGTGTGGCGTGCGTGATGTTTCTTGATCAGGGTGAATGGTCTTCTGTAAGGGTATAGGATCTTATAAGGGTCTACCAGATTGTGGTCCATCATCAATTCTTACTCTTTTTTTTTTTTTTTTTAATTAAATTTCAGACATCTGGATTTTCCGGATGTCAGTCTGGCTGGACGTCCCGCTGCGTCCGGGTCCGGTTCCGGTGTAACCATGCTGTTTTTCCAGAGCCGCAGCGCGTTCACGGCCGCAACTTTCTGGAAGTACCGAAGTGCCATTTCGCTGGACATCCATCTAGGCAAAACGGGTCGCATGCGAGGCCCTAAGGCGTCTTGGCCTTTGCCACGGCCTCTTCAAGGGGTTTCCCTGCCCACCTCTTGTCTTCATCCCCAAGGCTGCACCAACTTGAAGTTCCCAACTCCCACTAACCGTCAATCTCAAGTTCGTCTTCATCCCCAAAGCTGTACTTACTTGGGGTTCCCAACTCCCACTAACCGTCAATCTCAAGTTCCGCCGTGGTGTACCGCCCGTCAACCAGCCACGCGTCCTGGGAACGTGCTGGCAATCTCGGAGGTCGAAGTGAATATCTGACCTGGTATATAACTCTCTTAGTTACTCTTACCTACAATATTACAAACAAATACGAGTACCCGTACCCTTCAGCATACAGTGGTGCCTCCGCGTCACGTGCAACACATCCACTTGGCAATGGGCCCAGTCTCACCAAGTTCTGGACCTTCCTGACCGTAGACCGTGCTCAAACTTGGCACAATTAAGGTTTCTGCCCATACTATTCTCAGCCTGCTATCCTTCTATAGTCGGTTGCTAAATCCAAGATGTAATTCCAGGACTCAAATAACTTTATTGATCAACCGTACTGGATACCCAGTCCAAGCACATATGGCACCCCTCTACATACCCGAGAGGTGGGTCGAAGGAAAGCGCCTCGTTTTACTGTCTACCCTAGCCCAGCGTTCAGGTCGGCACATGTTCCCCAAAACAATCACGAACCATGACATGCACAATCCTGGCCTGAAGTCCGAATTTTGTTTTTTGAATCGTTGCCCTGTTGATGACCTGCCCAGTTTCCCCGGCGAGTGCGCCCTGTCTCCTGCACCAGGTGTTCCCAGCTGGGCATGCCCAGCCGGGCACCTGGCCAGCATAGGTTTGAGTGGAATGGTATGTTCGTATGTTGTCGTTGGATTTGGAATTTTGTTTTCTTGAATCCTTTCCCTGTTGATGACCTCCCCTATTTTCCTGGGCGAGTGTGCCCTGTCTCCTGGACCAGGGGCGCCGTTGCAAAAAAAGATCGGTGGCCTCCGAAGTGGTGCGGGTTTCATGCTGACACCCGCGGGCCGATGTGTGGTGTACAGGTGCTTTAACGAGATGGTATTTTAAACTATTTTTGTATGTTGTTGTTGTTGTTGTCAAAAAGAACACGGTGCTCCAATCTATTCGTATCATGATACATCTGCTTTTTGAGACATCTGGTAGTTGTTGTCAAAAAGAACACGGTGCTCCAATCTATTCGTATCATGATACATCTGCTTTTTGAGACATCTGGTACCAAATTATGGATATTGATGCTCTCTACTGTTTGGTGGCTAGCACTCCAAGACTTCTGTATCGTCAGGCTTCATACACATGTTCTGTGTAGGTGACTGATGCAATCATTGCATTTGTGGTTTCAGGTCGATACACATTATTGCTGACCGTGATTGAGCAACAATGAAGGGGCTCCCTCCTGTCAACATATTTTCCCATAGAGGCCTCCGTCCTTCCTGATTGTTAAGCGGACATAAAGCCGCTACATTATGAAGTGTGTATTCTGTTTACGTCGGCCATATCAATCCTCAATATCCTCATGGCTTTGATATTTATCATCGTAGAGTAGTATATGTAGCGATGGGTGCACACTAGATCGAAAGCTCGAGGAGATTTAGTAATGTGTCAGAAAGTACGCACCTGCTATTCATCTCTTTCCTGGCAGGCATTGCCAGGCAATAACACATTTTGTCAGTCTTTGGCCATTGGTGAACTCATAGGATGGTGCCCTTTTGTCATGGAAGCTTCATGCCACTGGGTGGATTCCCACGCAGATCAAAGTCGTATATATTTGCTCTCATTTCAATCTTCATTATGATTCAGTTAGTTGAACTGTGGTTTGGGTTAACTGCATCATTTGGCTTAGGAGTGTCTCCCTCATACCCCCTGTTTACCTTCTCCTCCTTGCTTTCTTCTTCCCCCTTGGCATCATCATCATCGTCATCATCGCCATCATCATCATCATCATCATCATCATCATCTTCAGCAGCAGCATTAGAAGCAGCCGCATCCTCATCCTCGTTCTCATCATCCCCATTGCGAGCACTTCAGACGACTGTTGATGGCCACAAGTGCAAACCTTTCTATGCAGGCCTGGTACATCCTGATCTCCAAATGCAGGACAGATATGCGGAGAGTTTGGGTAGCGCCTTTACTGGCTTGATGTACCTGAAAGAAGACCCTGGCACAGGCTACTACATCCATCGATGGGTTCATCGAGATCGACAGAAGAAACAACAGGAGAGCAGAGGAGGTATTTCACAACTGGGCAAGATGAACCATACCTATGTGATGCAGTCTGCTGCTGCTGCGGAGGGTGCGAAGGCAGACGAGCCGCTGCCCCTTGTTGTAATGCTGACTATAAACCGCCCCTTCTGTGCTGTGAGAACTGGAACTGACGTCTTTCAGAGGACTCTACGAAATCGGGTAACCTACATTGCTCATCATCCAAATATGGATATGCTGTACACAATGGGGCAGACGGAAGCACATATGTTTTTCGCCAAGTGGGATCTCGTCTCCCAGTCGATGAAGAGGTACCGGGAGTACGAGTGGTTCATGTGGATGGACGCAGATGCATTTATTATGCAGCTACATTTCCCCCTTCCTTGGCCTCGCTATCAAGCTGATAAGGATGTTGACCTTGTTTTGTGGGGCAACGACAGGATGGTGTATCAGAATGCTTCGTTTCGTGGAATCAATTCTGGTATCTTTATGCTCAGGGAGTCCGACTGGTCAAGAAAGCTGATGAGCGCATTGATGGCAGCGCAGAGAAGGTGGAGAGATTGGGACATGCAGATGAGGGAGGAGATGGATGATGCCATCTCTGACATTATAGTGTTTACAGACCAGGAGGCATTGTTGCATCTGCTACGGACAAACGAGAAACAATGGCGGAGAAAAGTTCAGTTTGAGAACTCTTTCTACTTCAATGCTTACTGGGAAAACGTGGTTCCCAGGTGGCAGAAGTGGGCGAACACCACTGGTGCAAATCGGTCTTCCTCTGATGAAGGACCATCGTTCACCGTTCATTTTGCTGGTTGCCAGTTCTGTCGTGGCTGGGAGCGCTACAAATTGAGCGCTTGCATGGAGGCCTTCCAATCTGTTGATCGGATTCTGGCCCACATGCAGTCGTCTGAGGCTACTGCAGCCAATAGGTAGAGCATGATTCCAATTAAAAATCTGCAACGGGATACGGGCAACTCTTTAACCATCTTCCCTGAACTGACAGTGGGTTCATCATGTGTGGCATACTGCGTAGCCACATGGGCCTGCAGGGCCCGTCCCGCATTCTCAGCCTAAAAGCCTAGAAATAAGGGCTTACAGACCCCGTGTCGTTTCAGCCTGAAAGACTGAAAACGAGGGCCTGCAGGCCCCATGTCGTTTCAGCCTAAAACAGGGCTTTTCAGCCCTGAGGCTTTTCAGCCTGAAACGGAGGGCCACTTTCGGGCCCTCTTAAGATCGACCTGCCCTAACACTCAGGCACAAAACCAGGGTTTCGGGAACAGGGTATTTTTGGCCTGTTCCCACGACAGCCTCAGCAGGAGCTGCAGCGGCAGCCCCTGACTCCCTTCGGCATTGGCAAGAGCAGCCTCCTGGAGTGCCCCGCCCTGCAGCTGCAGGCAGTCAGGAGGCAGGCCGAGTAGTACATAGGGAGTTCCCATGCACTTCACGGGTAGGTAGTTGGACAGAAGGCAGGAGTAGTCTTCAGGATTCGGCCGCAGCACTCTGGAGGAGCGCTGCAGGAGTAGCTTAGCGCTAGCAGTAGTCTTCAGCGCTGGGCGCTAGTAGCAGTAGCAGTAGTCTTCAGCGCTGGGCGCTAATAGGTGGTAGTAGTAGTGTTGGAGAGAGATGGCTGGCGGAGGCYAGTGAGACTTACCTGTGGCGCCATAGCTCCAGCTCCATCTTCGAGGTACCTGCATCAAGGCGCCAGCTTCACAGGTTAGTACCGGACTGAGAGAGAGAGAGAGTTCTTCTTCTTCCTCTTCTAAGTCCACCATCTCTTCTTCACCCTCTCACTATCTGACTTCTCAGTATCAGCGGACTACGACAGAGAAAGAGAGAGAGTTGTGACTTGAGACTTGACGACCTTGGATCCAGACTCGACATTGGGATTCAGACATTTTGACGAGGGACTATTTGGGCTTGTGCCGAAGACTTGGTGTTGACGACATTCCCCTCTTCCCCTCTTCTTCGTCTAACCCCCCTCTTCTTCGTCTGTGTATGGTTGGGGCTGGCGCATTCTTCCTGTGTGAGCACCAGACCCCTTCACACCATGGAGTGATGATGATGATGTATGTTCGGGGCTTCATTGCAATATTGATTGTTCGGATCATTGGTATCTAAGTCTTCCGCTACGCTATCTTGTACTTTGTGAGAGAGGTCGGTTCTTGTTCTGGTCTGCACCGTTACAGTATGCAACATCATGTGTGTTTTCACGGGTCTTTAATACAGACAGATGTTACGATCCTTGCCAATTGTGAAGTACACATTCATCAGAAAGTACAATGCTTGAATGCTGTCCAATTGCAAAAAGAAATGAATGAACTTGAGAGGAGCGATAGGGAAAGAAGAAGAAGAAGAAAGAAAGAAGAAAAGATGTACTCCAGCATAAACCAAAGATAATGCTCTTCTTCTTTGCCAACCAATCTCCTCCTCCTTATCTCCTCCCCTCTTATTCAAACAAGAAATAACAATAATAATGTTGAATGGCTGAATCAGAATCAATGTCCGAATCCCTCTTCTACTGCAGGCCCAACATGAGGTCCACCATAGCCATGGCCACCCTTCCTCTTCTTCTTCATGTAGGCCGAGTCTATGGCGGAGTACTGAGCGCTCTACCCTCCTGTCCAAAGGACAACCCAAAGCAGCTATGTCGCTGCCCTCCTGTCCCAAGGTGAACACAAGGCAGCTATGCCGCTGCCCATTCAGCCGCCATGCCAGACTCTGTCCCGAGCTTCCTTGATGCGGCACTACCCCAACTACGGCCTTCCAGATGCAGCGCCTAACAAGGTGATGAAGATGGTGTCCACCATAGCCAGGTAGGTACCTCGCCACTCTCCTCCTTGGTCCTCTTCTCCCTCCTCCTACCAGTAGAGCTCCACCATAGCCAAGGTGGAAGCTCCCGGGCTTCTTCCTCCCAGCAGCGCTGTAGTAGCCAGCGCTCCTCCAGCCAGCGCTCCAGCAGTGTGTCACCAAACTGGCACACTGAAGAATGAGGCTGGGCTCTTCGCTCAGCCTCAAGATATAGCGGCCTACTTGCCTCCTGGGCGGTGACTTCCAGGCCGCTTGGCCTCCCAAGCAACCGGTACCTCCTCCCTTTCGGAGGGAAACATCATTGCAGACTCTGATATTGCCCGTACAGGCCCTAGACTCAGACTGGATGGACTGGTACCCGCTTAGGCCTGCCTACCTCTACTGGGCCTCTAAAAATGCCAACTTTGTCTTCTTCTGCTCGGCCTCGAGTACCCGGCACATCTACTTCTACTGGGTGCGGTACCGGCCTACCTGCTATTGAGTGTTTTTCCGCTGCTCCAAGTGCCGCTGGTGTCTGGCTCCGCCACTTGAGTGTTTTCCCTGCTGCAATCCTCAATGCCACGGCCACAGGTAAGTACCGGCCCTACAGGCCTCCCAAACAAGCAAGTACCCTTGTGGGTCACACACACACTCATGCCGACAAGCACTCAGACGGGCACGCAGGTCACCAAGCATGCACACACACAGACTTAGAAAAACTCCGCAGAATGCGGGAATCTCAGCAAGGCATCCATTCCATCGGCAGAACTCAGAAATCAGCAGTGTTCTCAGTCCGTGTTATGGCGGGTCATTACACAGAAGACTATGGGTTCTGTGTCAGGTAACATAACAGAGCCTGCCTGGGCCCTGTTTGCGCCGACCTCCAGCCAGCCCACCTTTTTCTGCTTTGTTTGCTGGAAAACCGGGAGGGGGAATTGGATAGGATTGCAATAAACAAGAAAGGGCAAGCGGCCTGGCTCAGTTGGTTGAGCACGTGAGTGGCACACCGGAGGTCGTGGACTCGATTCCCCACGACATCCATTCGATTCCCCACGGCATCCGTTCGATTCCCCACGACCCCCTGTGTGGTATGCCTTGGGGTCACCAACCGAGAAAGTCGGCTTGTCCCTCCTGGCTGGTTGTGGACGTATGTGTCCGCTTTCCAGCTCGTGCCAGGTGTTAGGAGCCTGGGTACTGTTCCCCACATGGAGCAGCCTACGGGATATGCTGAGGTGAAAACTCTGGAGGCCGGGAATCCAAGTTTCCAACCCATAACCCCAGCGTCCCCTGCTAAGCTAGTAGTATATAGATAGGTAGGTAGTGGGAGGCATATTGAGAGAAGAATATAGGAATGAAAAAAGGATAGAAAAAATAAAGAAAGGAACTCTGACCAATGGGCTTATCTCAGTTGGTACACCCGTGAACTATTGAAATGCATACCCAAGTTCGGATCCTGATGCAACAAGATGATCAAAATAAAATCATTCTGGATTACCTGGGGCCGGTCAGTTCAGTGATGATATATCAAGGCCATTGTCTTTTTTATTAAAAAAAAAAGAAGAAAGGAACTCTGAAGCTGGTGAGAGTTAAGCCCACTTGGGCAGCAGCCTCGCAAGTGACAGACTTTAGGAGTGGTGCAGGCCTGTTCTGGTGGGCTGACTGGCCTTGGCATGTCGAGGTTGACAGCTGGGGAGGGGAGGGACTGGTCGTGCAGGACAGAGGCAAACTGCCATGTGGATTAAAGTCTTTTCCCTCCCTTATTGGATGTTGCTGCCCCTACCAGAGTGGAGGTACTGCTTTGTTTGGCGTCTAACATTTAGACGATTGCCTGTTGTTTCTGGAACAACAGGGGGGGAAGCCACCAACTGGCGAAGCTCAGTTGGTACACCCTTGAACCGTTGAAATACAGACCTGCAGTGAGTTCAGACTTTACTGGAAGCAAATGAGTACCAAAGTACTACAATTCTGAATCACGTAGGGCCGGTCAGTTCTCACCCTTTTTACCATGCCTATTTCTGTGGGAGTCATGCGTCCGTTTTCAATCTGAGTCTCTTTTGGGCTGTCTTTGTTGGTGTCAGTTGGCGACTAGCATTATATGTTGGGCCGTCTTTGTCAGTGTCACTCGGAGACAACCGTCATATGCTGGTTGCTGCTCTTTGTGTCGTGAATGTTCTGACAGTCCTTCGGGACATCCGTTAAAATTGGAACGATGCAGAGGGCCTCACCACACTACTTCTGACTTCGCCATTTTCGGGAGTGCAGCATCGCCACACCAGCTCCTGAGTTCAACCTGTCAGATTGAATTCGGGAGCTGTCAGAATGTGGCTCCCGAGAGCACTTCATAGCTCACCGCCTCCAAAGCTGCCTTTTCAAGAGACCTCCTTCGCTCCTCCAAGTTTCATCCCAGATTCGGGAGTGGAGCTGGAAGGGACAAACGACTTCTGCCAGACTGCTTCACACTGAGTGTGTCCACATGTGGCAAATTACATTTTCAGACTTGGAGCGAGGCCGGGTCTAGAGTGTAGTGTGGCGAAAGGCACTCCCGAGTGGGTTTTCACTTCCGGGAGCACTCCCGATCTTTTTTTTAAAGTCGGGAGTGGTGTGGCGAGGCCCAGAGAAAGAAGACTAGCCTGGCCCCTGTGCAATGATGACACACATAAATCGAGAAATGAATGTTCTGACAAGGGAGGCTGTTGTCTTGGGCGAACCTTCTTCTTCCCCAAACCGCAATATTCATCATGGTAGTTGACATTGAGAGCTTTTAGACGTTATGAGATTCATCCCAATTTCTGTGGGAATCAAGTGTCGATAACTGTCATGTTTAATACAACTGTTGTCAATTTCAGGTTTCAATTCCTGTCGGCGTCATCCTTCGACAATGGGAGTCATTGGGGACGGTATTATATGCCCAATCTACGGGACTTTACTGTGGGAGCTGTTCTTTTCCTGGGAATTGCAATCCGGGCAATGTACACAAGCCAGCTTTGGCCGGAGTGCAATTTGAAACTCGTTTTGGACGGAAGTGTAATTTCACACTGTTTTTGTGACTTCCCCGTAGTTACCCCTAATAACAATAATAATTAAAAAAAAAAAATTGACTTACTCCTGTTCCTACTGTTGTGTAGAGTCGCAAAAACGAGTTATAACTGCACTATGGGGCAAGGACCGAGGTGCGCTGCGCCCCGTCGGGTTGGCA